CCCCCCCCCCCCCCCCAAACAGCGCCACACAAAAAACCCCCCAATACCCCCCCCCCCCCCCCCCCCCCTTTTTTTTCTAGACAGACTCTCAATATGTAGCCCTCACTGGCCTGGACTCACTATATAGACATGACTCAGATTCACAGAGATCTGCCTCCTGTGTTCTAGGGTTAAAATCTTTAGGGTTTCAAAAACAAGGTCTTGCTGTGTCGCTTAGGTTGGCTTTGAACTCCAAAGCTCTCTGATCTCAACTTGGTGTGAATCACCAAGCCTAGTGCTGGGATGGAATGCTTTTGTTGAGGGATTTACAACCCTCAACTCCCAAATCTTTTTTTATTTTTTAAGATTTTATTTATTATGTATACAACATTCTGCTTCTGTGTATATCTGCACACCAGAAAGGGGACACCAGATCTCATAACGGATGGTTGTGAGCCACCATGTGGTTGCTGGGAATTGAACTCAGGACCTCTGGAAGAGCAGTCAGTACTCTTAACCTCTGAGCCATCTCTCCAGCCCCAACTCCCAAATCTTAATTATACTAATTTTACTCACAGTGATAGCTGTAGCTCTAATTCCAAATGTACTCCTAACCTTGTTTTTCAGTTTGAATTCCTTCACATGGCCTCTGTTCCCTCCCTGGAAGCAATCCCTAATTTGACTGAAGCATCTTAAAGAAACCTCTTACCCACTCGTCATTTCTCAGAGGGTCATTCACGCTTCCATCTGCTCCTTTGTTCTCTACCATCTGCCCCACAGCCTTAGCTGAAGTCACTTTCCTGAATCTCCCTCAGTTCCCACCCCTGTCTGCCCTGTCCCAACCCTTCCAGCTGGGAGGGTGGGCTCTTCACCTGCTGGCTCAGTGTGCCACGCCCAGTCTTCTTTTGTGGCAGGGGGGGGGGGGGGTGGGGAAGGTGGGGGGGCCCGGAACAGGGGGGGGGAAAACGTCACAGGACTAAGGTTGACTTGTAGGGCTGGGAGCCCAGCCCAGCCTTGACCTCAGTAGCTTATGTATGGTACACAGATGAATGCAAGCCCGTTGCATGCTTTCATTTCCATGTCCAATGTTCTCAAGAAGCCCCATGTGTGCAAAATACAGAGATGCAGAGTTTCGCCTACTAAGAACCTCTGCTCATTTCTGAGGGACTCGCAGAATAAGACTAGGCCAATTTACAGCTCAGCTGGTAGAATGCTTGCCTAGCATGCATGAGGCCCTAGGTCCATCCTAACGTCAGGTAAAATGGTATGGTTGTGTACGTCTGTAATCCCAGCACGGGGGAGATGGCGGCAGGAGTATCAGAAGTGTAAGGTCACTCTTTAAGTACTGAGTTCAAGGCCATGCCAAAATAAAAGAATGGAGAATCTTTATTCTAGTCTATGGATAAATGAGGCTAGGAAGGGGAAGGAGCATGAACTCCATTGAGCAAGGTCAGGGTGGTTCTGAAGGGCTCTGGGTGACTCTGGGTGATGCTCCATCTATAAGATGGGAATGATAACCTCTGGTTTGCTGCAAACACTTTCCGTCTAACAGAACAAAGTCCATTTGTGGATGGTGCTCTGGCCCAAGAGTCTTATTTGCTGGGCTAAGGGTGTATAAAGCCCAGTGGTAGAATACCTTGCTTATATGCACAAGGTTGTGGGTTTGGTTCCCCATCTGTTAGGCAGGATGTGGGGGCTAGTGCCTGTAATACCTGCACTAGGGAAGCTAATATAGGAGGAGGCCAACCTGGGTTAGAGTGAGACCCTGCCTCAACAAGACAAATCACATCTATTTACAGGGTCTCACTCAGTAGCCCTGTCTGGCCCCGGACTCACAGAGATCAGGCTGTTGTTGCCTCCTAAGAGCTGAGCTTAAAGGTACATACCACCAAACCCAGCTTTTTCTTATTTTATTTTGAGACAAGGGCTTATGTAACCCAGGCTGGCTTAAAACTCCTTATGTAGTAGGGGATGACCATAATCATTATGGTTTATGTCCTGAGTGCTAGAGCTATAGGTATATACCACTATGCCTGGTTTATGTGGGGCTAGAGATGAAAGCCAGGGCTTCATGCTTGCTAGATAAGCACTTTAGCAACCAAGCTACATCCCCAATGCCTACCTTTTATTTGCTGAAATAAATAAATATTTATTTATTGATTGGAGATGGTCCATACGGGAGAATATTCTACTTATTACATCCTCAGCTGAGCAGATGGGTGTTTTGGAAGTATCTTTAATCCCAGCACTCGGGAGGCAGAGGCAGGCGGATCTCTGTGACTTTGAGACCATCCTGGTCTACAAGAGCTAGTTCCAGGACAGCCTCCAAAGCCACAGAGAAACCCTGTCTCAAAAAACAACAACAAAACAAACAAACAAACAAACAAAAAAACCCAGAAAGTATCTTTGAGAGAGCAATCCTACAATATTTTTGCTATGTTTTGAAATAGTCCATGAAGAATACTTGGAAATTGCTAGAGAATTCTGAAGGCATTTCTGATAACAGAGGAATACGACAATAGTCGATACAGCTGCAGTGTGTGAGAATGAGAGTTATTCACAGTTGCTCCCTCAGAGCAGGCCTGTGATAAATACAGGTAATTCCACAGCCTTTCTGGAGAAATCTGGAAAGCACAGTTAGGCAAACCCCTTTGCCATCTCAGCCCTCCGTCTGCTCTCCCCCCACCCCCCACTCCTTCCAAAATACCTGCCCCTCTGGCCTGGCCCCACCTCTGCCTGCTCCTGATACCTGCACAGAGCACCCCAGCATCTTCGTGGTGTCCACAGTTGTGCACACCCCAGCCAAGGCTCTGGCAGGCTGCCAGGCGGAGCTCTCCACCTTCACAGTGAACGTTGTCCAGCAAGATATGCCCGGTGCCATAGCCGAAAAAGGCATTAGTGGTGGCGGCCAAGGCGGCCCCACAGCCCAGTTGGCGGCACACAACAGCAGCATCTGGCAGCCCCCAGTCATCGTCGCATATAGTGCCCCACAGGCCACCATGCAGGATCTCCACTCGGCCTTGACAAGGGCCAGCACCGCCCACCAAGCGCAGGCTGCCCTCACCTGGTCAATATGGATGACAGGGTGGGGCAAGCAGCATCTTACAGAATCACAAGGAGGGATTTTTCATTAACTTCATCAATGCACCAGACCTCCCTGGCCAGGGACAGGATCCTGAGCCGGCAGAGATAAACTAGCACCCCCACCCCCAAGCCTTCTGACAATACAGAGAGTTGGACTGTGGGTCCCAGGTTAACCAGTTTAGATTGTGTCATCCAGACCTAAAAGCAGCCCTTTCTTTCCTATCCCTGCTCTGCTGGCCTTCTGTAATATGCCTGTTTGTCATGTACAGCTGCCCAAAAGAAACCTCGCTTTGCAAGTTGTGGCTGTCACACTTCCTCTTCTGTGAAGCCCTCCCTGGGAGATGGGTCCCTCCTCTGGGCTTCCTCCCTCTACTTGTCCCTCAAGAGGGTCCTTATTCTACATTGCAGACATGACCTTGGAGCCATCACCCCCCTTTCTATCACCTCCTCAGCCTACCAAGGGTCTCCCCAAACTACTACGACTTACCTTTTCCATTTTGGAGGGCTGTAGGGGGTGCTACACTGGTCAATACCTTCCTTGTCAGGGGCTGTGTGTGCAAGAATTCTGCAAAGGAAGGAGGGAGGAAGCAAAGGTACAGGGATCATTCTGTTCCCCATCCTTACACAGCATGTGAGCGTCAGGAGTCTAGAGCCTTAAGATGCTTGCTTTCAAGGCCAAAACCCCAAGTCCTGGATATGCACAGCCCTGTCTGGCCCCAAACTTGCTATGTAGGTAAGAATGACTGGAGATGCTGGGTGGTGGTGGCACAATCCTCTAATACAAGCATTCTACTCAGGAGGCAGAGGCAGGCAGATCTCTGTGAGTTCAAGGCCAGCCTGGTCTACAGAATAAGTTCCAGGACAAGCTCCAAAGCTACAGAGAAACCCTGTCTCAAAAAATAAACAAAAAACCAAAACAAACAAAAAAGAATGACCTTGAACTTCTGATCCTCTTGCCTCCCAAATGCTAGTATAATAGGTACGTGTCACCAGGCCAGCCTAAAGGCCTAGTTCTTACTGTTTTTTGGTGTGTTTATACCTGTGGTGTATACCTGTGTCCATGCTGGGTGCTCTCTACTGATCTTCATTGTGTTTACGGATTGGTTATTATGTCTGCAGAGCTCAAAAGAGTTATGGGTGTCTGTGAGCTACCATGTAGGTGCTAGGAACCGAACCCAGGTCCTCTGCAAGTCCTGCCAGTACTCTAAACCAGTGAGCCATCTCAACAGCTCCTTTATTTATTTTTATTTTATGTATATGATTTTTTGGTTGTTGTTCTGTTTTTTGTTTTTCAAGACAGTGTTTCTCTGTGGCTTTGGAGGCTTGCCTGGAACTAGTTCTTGTAGACCAGGCTGGTCTCAAACTCACAGAGATCCGCCTGCCTGTCTCTGCCTCCCGAGTGCTGAGATTAAAGTGATTGTTTTGGCTGTATGTATCTTTATACCCCACATACATGGAGTGCCTATGGAGGCCAGAAGAGGTCATTAGATCCCCTGGAACTAGAATTGGGGGGGAGGGGTGTTAAGAGCCACCACGTGGGTACTAGGGATCAAACCTGTGTCCTCGGAAAAGTAGCCAGTGCTCTTAACTGCTGAGCCATCTCTCCAGTCCCTTGAGCCCTGTTCTTAATGCAGTTGACATCCCTGGGGAACTCACTAGAAGAATTAAATTCTCAGGCCCTACCCCAGACCTGAAGAATCAGAAAGTCTAGGCTGCAACTACAGCTTGTGTTCTCAAAAGGCTTGCCAGCTAGAAAGCAGCTCTTAAGGTTAACAACTCTTGAGTTTCTGCTGCAGCTCTTAGTTCAGAAGAGTTTATGGCCAGGGTCACTCCAGTGGTCTGGTTTATTAAATGGGAGGAGTAAGTCTGGCTTGATGATACATGCTTGTAATTCCAGCATTTAGCAGGTGGAGGAAGGAGAATCGGGTGTTCCAGGCCAACCTGGCCTGTATGAGACTTCATCTAAATGAATGAATGATTGATGGATGGATGGACAGACAGACGGATGGATGGATGGGTGGGGGGTGCTCAGGTCAGTGATAGATTACCTGCCTAGAGACATTTTGCCCAGGCTGGGCATATGGCTCAGTGGTAAAGTGATTGGCTAGAATGCACGAGGACTCAGGTTCAATCCCTAGCCGTGGAGAAAGGAAAACTAGGAGGATAACTCTCCGTGGGCAATCAAGCCCCACCTGGAAGCTTGCTGTCTCTTTGGTCCATGAGCCAGAAGTACTCTAGCATCAGAGAGTGGGCTCGCCTGCCCCTGTGGCCTCCCCTTCCTTCACTCACCGTCACATAGGACCGCCACATCTTCATAGTGAAAGCAGTTGTGGACACCCCAGCCCCTGCTGCCACACTCGCTCAGGGACGCTTCCTGCCCCCGGCACTCCACGTTATCCAGGAAAATAGGGCCTCGGCCTTGGCCAAAGGCAAGTGGCTGGGGGAC